GATGAAGGAGAATGATGAAATGGTGCCATTGATAAAGATGTATTCACAAACTAACATGTTGAAACTCCTTTACACCACTACTTAATGAAAAGAAGGAAATAACATTATGTGTATTTTATTGCATTTATTTTACTTTGAAAGTCAATTTTCGTATCCTAAAATATAAAAGTAAAATAAGAGCACATGCATTTTGATTCATTTTTTGTCTTGTTATATCTATACATCTATCCATCCATCTATCCACCCATCCATCTATTCTACATTTCTATATTTGACAAAAGAAAACATGGAGAAAAATCTACTTTCCTTAAACTGGGCACAACGATGCATTCACATTGAAGAACTACGTACATTCTTTGAAAATTAATTTGAGCATGGTAAAACAGATTAAAACCACTTCTTTCTACTTGAGGCTTTATTAATATCAAACCTTAAAGTTCTTATCTGCACTGCAGTTCTTCCCACCTCCAATTACTTGCTGAATCAAATATTTTTTGCTAAAATAATAGACAATACATTCTAGTGCTATGCATTTGAAAATCTTTAGCTAATGGTAACAAAAATCAGGAATAGGAAAGAATTAACTCTAGCAAAGAGGAGAGACAAAATAACATTTGAACTAATAAAATAAATTCTCTAAAGCTCAATGTCATCTCTAAAGGAATTGTAACACTCACAAAGGCACAAATTATTTGGAATTGTTTTTCTTTTATAAAAAGTTCAAATATTTTAATTGTGAAAGAAAATCTTATTTTTTAAGTTGAGATTATTGCAATAGGAACAAATCCAAATAAAATAACACAAAACTATATGAAATATAATATTCTGCTTGATTTTCCTATTGAAATTGATACAATAAAGTATTCAGCTTTTAGTAAGTGACACAGTAAAGCAACAGGATTCCTTTTATTTTGCTTTTAGGTTCTTTCTCACAATATATTTTTTGTCTATTTTCTTTTAGCAGTCTTTGAAAATATTAAATACTAAAAATGATTATTTAATATTTGAAAGCTGCATGAAATAATTACTCACATAGATGTCAACATCTGTCATCAGTAAAGAAAGATAAGTGAATACCAGAAAACTGGCACTTGAAAGGTATGTAGGGGGTATACTAAGGAAGAGAGGAAGGAGGAAGAAAATATAATCATAATATTCAATGCATACCCTATAAAATTAAGAAAATTAAGAGGATGACTGGGGCTGTCAGGGATGGGGGGAATGATGCAAGGGTTGACATCAATCAAAATGCATTTTTCTATTAAACTTAGTAGTTAAATGCTAACACCTTTGTACACTTACTTAGATAATAAAAATACAATTAAAAAAGAAGACATATGCATTGAATTATGTGAAGCCTTGTTGGTCATGAAGGTTTCAAATAAACGAAGAGAAGAAGTTCACTAAGACAACAGTGGCCATATTCAACATTTTTAACTTATTTCAGGGTAATACTCATATGAATAATATAAACTACTGACTGACAGGGCAGCCTCTAAATAAAGGTTTTGTTGGTGGTGCTGCTTTGTTTCTGTGTTTTTGTCTTCTTTCTTATTTCAAATACTGCCTTCATTATTAAATACTGCTTAACATTATTTTTAAAAAACATACTCAAGCATAGTGCTGGTGGTTCACCCCTTCAATCCTAGCTATACAGAAGGCTGACATCTGAGGATATGGTTCAAAGCCATCCCAGGCAGGAAAGACAGTGAGACTCTTATCTTCAATTAACTAATAAAAAGCTGGTAATGGAGCTGTAGGTCAAGTGGTAGAGTGGTAGACTTGAACAAAAATGCTCAGTGACAGCAACCAGGCCCTGAGTTCAAGATTTATGACTGGTGTGCACACACACATGTACACCTGCACACACACCAGACACAGACCCCTACAGACACACACACAAACACACAAACACAGTACTCAAATCTCTTAGGTATGAGTAGGACAGTACTGTAAATATTAAAGTTAAATTAAATTGAAAGTATGTTTTAAGTACTGAGCAATGTACAATGAATTGTGAGTTGGTCAATCAGTATGAAATATTTTATTTTTTTCCTCATTGTTTTCATATGTTAACTGAAGTTATTGTTTTTGGTGGTGGGTTTTGGGTTTTCTGTCTTTCTTTCTTTCTTTTTGACCAGTAGTGGGATTTAAACTCAAGACCACACATGTAGATTGTTAGAATGGGAGGTCTTATAGCAAGACCAGGAATTAAGCTAAAACTTGCTATACAGGCTGGCAAATATCCTTAAGCTCTACATTGTCATATGTTTAGACATTTCAGGTTAAATAGCTAATTCTGGGATGCAATTTCACTGTTCATGGTAAGGAGCAAGAGCTCATTGAGTTCTAATCCTCCTCTCTGAATGTCATTAGGTAGACAGAAAGCATAGATAAATAAGAGACTATAAGATAGATACTATAGATAATAGATGTTGAAAAAAAATAACCAGATGGATAGATGGGGAGACAGATATGGTGAGAGAGATGTATATTTCATGTAGGGGTGTATGTGTGTGTGTGTGTGTGTGTGTGTGTGTGTGTGTGTGTGTCTGGAGAGAGAGATAAGAGAAAGAGGATAAAGAAAAAGAGAGAGAAAATCAGAAACAGAGAAACACAGAGAGCTCTTCTAACCCTATTTGTCATGTAAGATTAAATATTTAAAGGCAGGATTCATTTCATTTTTGACATTCTTAAAAATTTCGACTTTACCTTCTATAGTCAATATTTGTTGATGTAATAAATGAGTATAGAAGGTAAAGTAGAATGAGTAAATTAAGTTTGTAAGTTAAGGAAACACTATAACTAACTTTAAAAATTTTGTTTTAAATTGGAAATCAGTTTTTCTCTTAGCTAATGCATATATGACCTATGTGTAACCTTCAGATTAATAATTATCCCTGTATTTATTAGTAGGAAAATATCAAAACTCTTTCTGAGACATTTCCATTGGCATTCTCATTGTTAATATTAGAAATTATTTCATAGGTAATATTTTTGGGGGGTCCAGACTTGTGGCCTGAACTCTGGGCCTGGGCACTGTCCCCCAGCTCTTCAGCTCAAGGCTAGAGCCACAGTGCCATGTTGGGCTTATTTGCTGCTTATGTGGTACTGAGGAATCGAACCCAGGGCCTTATGCATGCAAGGCAAGCACTCTGCCACTGAGCCACCTTCCCTGCCCTTCATAGGTAATATTAATTAAAGTATATGTCAATTTTAGTTTTCCCATAAAAATAAAAATTATATTCTTAAGACGTTAATTTTTTTATGTAAAACTGATAAAATAGCTTTTTATTGTAACTTACATTTAGAGAAATAATAAAGGTGACGTCTCTTTTTCATTAAATATATGCCAATAAAATACATGGATTAGTTTTCACAGATGATAAGGAATTAGTGTTAATGTGAACAGTAAGTTTTTAGGCTTTTTTGAACTGATTCTCTTATTATCTAAATTCCAGTGATGTGATAATATTGGTAAACTATTTACCCTTGATGAATAGTAGCATTATAATACTATTATGAATACTACTTAATGAATCACTTTATAAATCATGCTCAACTTCATAATGTATATTCATATATCAATACCCAACAACTATCATCTAATATGTGTCTAATTTTTTTATATTATAAACACACAAAGTCACCAACCATCATCACCATATAACTCCTTTCATATAAGAATACCAGAGTTGATAGGAATTGTGTGTATTAGACAAATATTCTAATTGGTTGCAGTAAAAATAAAATTTCAGATACTATTATAGCATTTCTTAGAAGATTGTATGGCAAAAGATTACAAAAGAAGTCAATAGTCTAAATATGTATTATTTAAATAGGCTTTTATAGGATTCATTCTAAAAATAAATCCAGCAAAATTAAACTTAGTACATACATATTAATATATACACAAATACTCAATGTGTCATTTATTACTGTTTTGAATATATGTAAGTAAATATATGAAACATTAATATATTTGTATTGAAATTATGATTTGATTAGAAAATTAAAAATTCTATACACAATGCTTTATCTATGGGACTACAGATTGCATTCTTAATAGAAATTTACATTGTAGGAGTCATCAATCAATACTTGACCTACAAGCCATGGTCACAGTGTTTAAATGTAGTTTCTAATTTTAAAAAATAATATTAAATATATATTCTATTAATATTTTGAAGTCTATCAGGTAATCTAACTTGTAACTCTCACATCTGATTTGCAACAAATGTTTTCACTGTTTACAATAGAATATTAAAAAAAATATTCATAGCTTGTCTTATATTTAAGAGCATCTTAATTACCTTGAAAGAATATTTCCCAAATAGTTTCATGGTGCTGGAAACATCAAATGCATTATAAAAGAAATACAATATAGCAATAGATTCTCAGAAAAAAACAATACCATTATTTCATTATGTCTATCAGTATAAGTTTATATTCATCTGGTATCTACATCTTTAATTTACATATGTGTAAATTAAAACAAAAAGCCAAAAGTGTGGCCAAGCTATTATTAGACTTTTGAAAAGCCATTTGAAGGTAACAAAAGATGAATTGACATTGGCAATAAATATAAAATAATCCCAATCAAGTTTCCATTCTATATAAAAATTGAGTTCACTAATATAATATAAACTAGCAAATCACAATGTCCAAATCTAGCTAATACATGCCAATATTTCCCTGTCAGTAAAGTCTAAAATAAGAATGGTTAGGAAATAGCCACAAAAGAAGCAGAGTCTAGTTACTGTAGTCAACTTCTTCTTTAAAGAAGATTGAAGGCTGCTCTCTCTTGGCTTTCCTATTTTCAGTTGTGATCATGATATTTAATAATTACTTTTTATCTAGAGTAGTTGTGGGATTTTTCAGGTTCCTTGCTGAATTATCAATGTTCAGATCCACCGTGATAGACTTCAACTCTAGAACTAATAGGTTGAAACTGATTGCTTAAACTTTACACTTTGTAAGCATTGGAAGACTTCACTCACCTTGTTCAAGTGGTTGGTTTTTAGTTGAAGTAGTTTTCATCTTGAGTGCCTCCCTAACAGACATGTCACAGCAGGAGCCTTTGTTAGTGTCTTGGTCACTGTCAGCCTGATCACTGTCCCCGTGCCCACTGTCTCTCAGGCTGGCTCTCTCTGGGTCCTTAAACGTGGAGCTACTGAAATACATATAAAGAAAAAGAAGAGAGAGTGTTGTCTCTACCAGTTTAAGTCTGAAGTGTAGTCTCTTGCAAAGCAATTTTGACACGAATGCAAATGAAGAAGCTGAGAAAGTTATTTAATAGGCCTTACCTTTGAACAAACTGCTGCCTGCTGCCCATGTAATTGGGCTCTGCGGGAAAATTGTCTGTCTGTGAAAGAGAAGGAAAAAAATACGTATAGTTGTACACTGGACAAATCTCCTGCAGAGCAACAAGATTTCCTAGTGGAAAAATGATTAATAATTCAAAAATTCCCTTAATCTTCAGATTTGTTCATTTTAATTAAATTGGAAATTGCTGACATGTAATTATGTACTCAGAACAATTAAATGATTCCGGTCCACAAATTACCTGTTAAAGTAAACAATGAGCCTGTCATAACTGGCATTCTCCGTTAGTACCAGGACAGATAACACTGTGTTGCTTCATCATGTAGAGATTAAGATAGAATATTTGTGGGAGGAGTGGGGAAATAGCCTAATTTCTCCAAATTAAAAGTGTGAATTATTTAATAATACTCATTTTTAAGCATAATCGCATCATCTCCAAGATTCTATGCCTTTCTTGATGGGATATCACTTCAAGTTATCCACTCCCTAATAAAAAGACAAAAGGCTCTTTCCTTCAAATTTTGTCAGGAATGGATCTAAATGTGTCACATACAGTGTATCTCATCTCTAACTCTTCCTCTCCTACAGTCCAATTATGGGAATTCCATACAAACAATCCAATGGAAATGGGTACTGCTTCTTGGTTATAATCAAATAAAATAGAAAAAAGAAAAAAATCACTGAAAACATGGAAAGTAAAGATATCAAGAAACCAATCTTCTTGTTGTGGTTGTTGTTACTGCTTCCCAACTAGCCTGGAGGTCTGCCAAATAGAACTGAATTCTCCTTGTATCATGGAACAGAGTCTTTTGGGAGAAAGAGACTGGATCTTTCATAGATCTCCCTATACTGTACATTCATACACGTTACTTCTTCTTGCAGCTGACTGGGTGACAATGCTGCTCCTGTTTTCTGCGTCACTTCATATCACCCCATTATGCTCAGGAGCAGCTAAGGGGTTAGTACAAGACCATCCAACACACAAGTATCCATGACACAGAGGAAAGGCCATCCATGCGCAGAGGGCCCAAGGTAAGGTGTCATAGGTGGCAATAAGTCCTTTCTTTGCAAATAAGGCTAACTTAACATAAGAGGACTCTTTTTTTTTTCATTTTACTGCAGTCATTCAACCTATTTGGCTTTGTGAATTACTACTGGGAAAATATGTGAAGACAAATTACTTAAAATATTGTATAAGTTTAATTGCCCACAAGAAGTTTGGCAACAGGGAAATTCTTCTCCAATTTCTTCTCAGTAAGCTTTTATTTTTTAAACCAAATAACCTTTCTCAAATGGCACACAAGAAGAATGTGAACGAGGTAGATTCATTTCTCATGTCTCACCGTCTTTCACTAATAGTTGGCAAGAGGCATTTCTCACTAACAGGTACTAGTTCTTAGATTCTGTGAAGTATCTTAATTTTGGTTTCCATAATGAAAAAAAAACTCTTTACCTGTAAGAATAACTTTTCCTTCTACTAAAATTATCAATGTTAACCAATAGAAGTGGCAAAACTGTTTGCAAAGAAATGTTGCCAATTAAAATATGATTTATTACAAACTCTAATACAGTCGGAGTTGGTCAAAAACACAGTCCAAGCCCTTATCTCTATCAGTTAAAAGCTAAACCTGAATGTTTTAGAATACTTCAAGAAAATAGAAGGGTATTTTAAGCTGTAAAGAGAAACTAGAGGCTTAAATAGAAATATAGGTACTATTATAATTAGTCTAGTGGTTTTATAAAATGGTTTTAATTAAGTAGAATCTCATAGGATATGAATCCCTATCCAGTCAGACAGAGGGAGAAAGACTGGAGAAAGTTCTCTTGTTCTGTGAAGGACAGTCTTTAAAAATGTTTGCATATTCTCAAATATCTGATGAAATATAAATAAGAAAATATACTTCCCGATGGGTGAAAAAGCTAGATTATATGTCTAAATGTTCATAATATGAATGTATCAGGCACTGAGCAATATCAAGCTATAAAATGCAGTTTTAATGATAAAACAAAAAGAAGGAAGAGAATGAGTGATTTAGGAAGAAAAGGAAAAGGGAAAAAAGCAGAGAGAAAAACAAGAGCCAACAGGAAAAGTAGATAGAAACAAAAAGATGAAGGAGAAAGAAACAGGACAGAGGAAAGTGAAAAGAAATGTAGAAGATAAAAGATTTTGTTTATGATCATAGAATCACAATAGATAATTTTAACTTAACATGTTTCTCTATAACAGTATCAGAAGTTTGTAATGATGCCTGGTCTCAGAGAATAAAGTGGAGAGAAGTGTGAGAGAGTCTGTGTCTACAAAGTTAGCATAATAAAATATCCCAATTGAGCCTAAAACAAAATTACAACTAATTCACAACTTTAAAAAAACATTGGTTAAATATAGAGTATTGTTTTCATTATCAAGGCTTTAAGGGAGTTGGCAAAATCATTTAAAATAAGCTGAATATAAATAACATTACTTGCATAAAAACAATAATTTGAATGAAGAAAACTTATGTATTCCAGAATAACAATTTAAAAGTTGAGATTTAAATTATTTTATAGCACTTTAAAATTTTAGTGTTAGCTTACACATTTATGATCCTTGAATCTTAAGTGTTGGAGAAAAGTAAAATATGAGATCACAATATTTAACTATTTAGGTCTCAGCAGAATATTTTCATGTATCTATTAATAAGCCTTGAAAGCGTCCTCTTCCAGAAAAACTAATCACTGTGTTGTTTCCTTCTCAATCTAAGCCTGAACACAATGATTTTAAATATTTTATCAAGAGCATATAACTAATCCATATAAATGTGTACCTTAAATTGGTAAATAGACACACAAATATTTTCAAGCGGATATTTTTAAAAAGCTTTAGTTAAAAAAAATTAGCTGAAGTAAAAACTTCAGCTAAATATGGTCTGAAGGAGGTGACAGTTTCATTGGATGTGACTGTTTCTAGATTATTTGCCATTATTTGTTTCTTTGCTAGTACTCAAGAAAATTATAGTACTTTTATAAATGATATGCAAATCAGAAGTGTTATCAGCAGTAACCAGCAAGAAACTGTTTGGATTGAAAAGATGGCACATGCCTGAAATTCCAGCATTGCAGAGGCTGAGGAAGAAGGGTTGTGAACTCAAAGTCAGCCTGGGCTACGTAGGGAGTTCCAGACCAGACTGTGCTAAAGGGTAGAACACTGCTTCAAAAATGAGTAAGAAATAAATTAAATAAATAAATATTCCTAAGGTATGCCAAGCATCCTGAAAGGTTAAAGCATTCCAGAAAGGTTAAAAGAAATTGAACAATAAAACTGAATCATATTGCCTGAAATCAGAGAGTCCCTTACTTATAAAAGAAGATTCATTTGATATGGTTACCCATATGTGCCTTAAGAAGTTGGTCAGAAAGGAACATAGCAAAAGAGATCAAAAATAATTTTTTAATGATTAAAATATTAAAAATAGACACTTAAAATATATCAAGCTTTTGACAGAATTTGATATCTATTAATGATAAAAAAATCAGCAAAAGAGGAAAGGAAGAAAGTTTCCTTAAAGAGAATCTATACATAAAAAAAGGATCTAGCTTGCATTTTATTTAATGATGAAGTTCTGAGATTTTCCCTTAGGAAAGAGGTCTACTCTTTTCACTTCAATTCATCATTGTACTGAAAGGCCTACAATTTTCAGTAATAAAACTGGGCTGGGAAGGTGGCTCAGTGGTAGAGCGCTTGCCTTGCATGCATGAGGCCCTGGGTTCAATTCCTCAGCACCACATGAGCAAAAAGAAAAAAGCCGGAAGTGGTGCTGTGGCTCAAGTGGTAGAGTGCTAGCCTTGAGCTGAAGAGCTGAGGGACAGCACCCAGGCCCAGAGTTCAGACCTCACAACTGGACCAAAAACCAAAAAATGCATAAGGGCTGGGAAGGTGGCTCAGTTGGTAGAGCACTTGCCTTGCATGCATAAGGCTCTGGGTTTGATTCCTCAGCACCACATAAGCAAAAAAAAAGAAAAATGCCAGAAGTGGCACTGTGGTTCAAGTGGTGGAGCACTAGCCTTGAGCTAAAGAGCTGAGGGACAGTGCCCAGGCCGAGTTCAGGCCCCATGACCAGACAAAAAAAAAAAAAAGAATAAATTTTCACACACATTGAAAAGGATAAGGATGTTCATAGGCAATATCATTTTGTTGTCTGTGACTATTAGAATATATTATTAGTTAAGTGGTAAATAATGAAGAGCATACAAGCAAATATTTCTAGAATTAATAAATGAATTAACCAAGGATTCTTTAAGCATGTCAAACACAGATCAACCCTTTTTCTAAGGATAAGCTATTTGAAACCTAAATTTTAAAATAACATAACAACGCTATAAAAACCAAACAGTGAAAAATGTATATCCAATATCTGTATAGGATCTATATAATGAAATTGAACGTTTCTATCAATCAAAGAGATCTAAATAAGTGGAGAGCTAGTTAGGACCTATGGATCAGAATATTGAACATAGCAAAGATATCAATGTTCCCCTAAATAATCTCAAATGACCTATTCCACTTTTTTTGGTACATGTAATTCCACCTTAAATTCATAGGGAAATTCAAATGAGCCTTAGCAGCCAAAACAACTTTTAAAAAGAAGAATTGACATGAAGAAATGATGCTAGTCTATTTTAAGATTTATACTGAAGCCAGGCGCTGGTGTATCATGCCTGTAATCCTAGCTACTCAGGAGGATGAGATCAGAGGATTGCCTTTCAAAGCCAGCTGGGTTAGGAAAGACCAGAAGACTCTAGTCTCCAATAAACCACCAGAAAACCGGAAGTGGCACTGTGGCTCAAGTGGTAGAGCACTAGCCTTGAGCTGAAGAGCTGAGGGATAGGGCCCAGGTCCAGAGGTCAAGGCCACGACCCCCCAAAAAACAAACAAGCAAACAAAAATAAACAAAAATCAAACAAAAAAAACATTTATACTGAAACTACACTAATTAAGACTACACAAAATTGCCAAAGGTTGGACACATAGTTGATTCTAACAGAAGAGGCTGTCCAGATGGC